TTGCTTCTGGCGTCATACCTAAGATCTGAATGGAAGCGACTGTGGGGATTGATCGTCCACTTTCGGTATATAGGTGGATGTCTGTCTCTGGGGCGGCACCCAGCCTCGCGGTCGACGGCCCTTCCTGACCGGGTTATAGAGGAGAAGCTGAAACGTTTCATGAGAGCAGAAAAGGCATGTGTCCTCCACAAAATTCTCGGTAGCGTCGATGGCCTCTTGCAGGGCAGCCTCTACAGTGCCATCACTTCCTCTTCTACACAAAATGGTGATATCGTCAACAAAAATTGTGAGACCAACATCTGAAATTCCAGAAAGCTGCCTTGAGAGACCAGCCATGACGATGTTAAAAAGTAAAGGTGATAAAACAGATCCCTACGGGGTGCCCATATTTCCCAGCACTTGCACATCCGATTCTAGATCTCTAACTTTAAGTATGGCTTTTCGACCCCTCAGGAAGGATCTGACAAACACATGAAAGGAGGAACCTAAGTTGAGACCAGAGATCGCATCCAAATTAGAATCATGACGGACATTATCAAACACTTTTTATATATTCAAGCCTCTGGTATGATTATCTAAAATCTGAGTCTTAATGATTTTCATAGCATCCTGCGTAGATAGGCCTGGCCTAAAGCCAATTAGGTAATGAGGAAAGAGATCATTGTGCTCTATGTAATCCGCCATTTGGTTGTGGAAAACGTGTTCCGCCACCTTTCCTACGCATGACATGAGGGAGATGGGGCGCAGATTATCCAAACTTGGTGCTTTACCGGGCTTGGGAACGAGGATCACCTTGGCCACCTTCCATTGCTCCGGGATGTCATTTCCTTTCCAAATCCTATTGGTCTCATCAGTAAGAAATTCAACATAATCTTCTTCCAAGTTCCTAAGCGCTTTGTTCGTGACCATATCCGGACCCGTTGCCGATCGGCCATTGAGTTCGTGCAGGGCACGTCGCACATCGCTGATGGCGAAGGGTTCATCCAAATGGGCACAAGGTGTTCCCATATACCCCGGATAGACTTGCATGTTGGAATCGACTGCTAGCGGTAGATACATGGTAGCAAGCTCCCCCAATAGCTCCGCGCCCGAGGAGGACTTTTGAGCAAGATGGAGTACTCTAGCGAGGACCCCCCTCTGATTATATTTAGTACCCGACTAATCAAGCAGGTGTTTTAAAAGATTCCATTTACCAATGGTTCACATTTGTCCATCGACTGAGTTACAAATTTCATCCCGCTGCTGCCTCAACAATATTTAGCAAAGTTATTCACTTTGTGTATTTCACTCCGCAGACAGACAAAGAACTTTATTCAGGTCCTGAGGAACTGCGTTGTAACGGCCCCGTTTAGGGGGAATCCGTAGCAGTCGCGGGCCGCTCCCACGTAGGGACCGGAAGACCGTGGCCCTCCGCCCTAGCTCGCAGGCCCTCTGGACAGCCCGAAGTTGAACCAAGAGGTCGCCGCTGTTAAGGGCTTCCTCCCAGTCCTCTTCTTTGTTGAACTCTGCGTCACGTAACGCAGGACATTGCCAGAGCATATGAGGTAATGAGCAATACGCCTCTCCGCAGTCCGGACAATGCGGCTCGATGTTGGGCGAAAAATGACTGAACCTGCCTCGCGAATGGAAAGACCCCGTTTGGAGCATCCTGTAGGCCGATGATTGCGGTCGCGTAAGTTTAGGATGAGGAAGTGGAAAAGCCCTCCGAGATAGATGATAATGAGTCATGATCTCGTGGAAAGTGAGTAGCGAGTCCCTGTATCTTCCGGCGTTCCCGCCTGCAAATCCGCCGGGACCGCCGCGGTGAGCGATACCTCGCGCACGGTCATGGGCAAACTCATTGGCGTTGGGGATATCAGGATGTACGTTGGCCCCCATGTGGGCCGGGAACCATGTTATGGTGTGAAACCCGGCAGCCCCCTCACAGCCGAGGATGGCCGCTGTCTCACGCGAGATCGAGCCCGAGGCGAAAGCCCTAGCTGCGGAACGCGAATCTGTAAAGACATTAGGACGCGATGGGTCCTTCATTGCAATGGCGATGGCGATTTGCTCAGCCACCATTGCCGAAACCTTTCTAACCGAGGCAGAGCATAGGAGTGTGCCACTATGATCGACCGAGACCACTGCGAAGCGATCCGAACGCCCGTACTGGGCTGCATCGACAAAGGTCGCGAGATGCGGTCTGTTTGCAACTGATTTTAATAAGGAACGGGCCCGAGCTATGCGGCGCCCTACATTGTATTGTGGGTGGACATTTCTTGGAAGTGGAGCTACCGAAAACGTGCCTCTGATCGAGGGTGGTAGTGTTACATTACGCTGGTTAGTCGCCGTAGGACCGCAGCCTATGGATTCCAGGATGCGCCTACCAGCCCTCGAGGACAATAGTCGCACGACCTGAGCCATCTGCTGGGCCTCGATCACCTCCGAGAGGGAGTTATGCATGCCCAATTGTAGGAGCTTCTCGGTGCTAGTGTGGATAGGCAAGCCTAGAACTCGCACTCCGCAATCTTTTTCCGAAGTTTACGATTAAGCCTCTGGCCCTTCCATCTGGCCAATAGCGACTGCTTTGCTTCCAGTAAATGCGCAAGCCGACTGTTCATTTTTTCTGTCTGTACCTCTGTCTCAACGGTCCTGGTAACCGCCGTAACGTCCTGCAGCAGCATTTCCGTCCATTGCTCCAGAGAGTCCGAGATTTCCCCCTGTTCCGCTCAAGCCCTTCTTGACTCCCGAAACTTATCGCAATCCAAGTAAGCTAACTTTCTTTTAGATTTTGCCTCCATCAGCAATTTAGTAACTGTAATATAATGATAACTTCCTAAATCCGTCAGAAGATTTTCCCAACCTACCAAGCCAGCATTTTTTATGAAATCTAGGTCCGGGGTGGATTTCCTGGTGGTAGATTACCCGCGTCTAGTTGGAAACGCCGGGTCCGTTATGAACGAGAGATCCGCATCTCCCGTCTCCTGCCACAAGCTCCTACCTTTAACAGAATCATACGGGTAGTTGCACGCCCGGAAAGGCGCGTTAAAATCCCACGCCACAACCAGAGGGGAGAGCCCAGCCAATCTTGTTGCCTTAGCTATGATTGTCTTGAAACGCTGCCTATGATCACTAGGACTACTGTATATATATTCAGTATACAAATGCTGGAAAGGTTGGAAGCACTCGGAATGACCTCAACCAAGGAGAGCTCCGTTTTTTAGGCCTTACCCCTAGATCATGCGTAACAAAGGGGAGCTTGTTGCTGACTAACGTGGCAATCCCTCTGTCTTCCCATTGAACTGTATGTGCCTTGTACCCCGGCATGGTTACACTATCAGACAGCGTCTCCTGCAGTAGGATCACTTGCGACTTTTCGCTGTGAGAGCGGACGAATTGATAAAGGGTGCACCTTTTGCTAAGGATCCCCATGCAGTTCTATTGTCATACACGAAATTCAGCGTGCGAGGCCATCTTGATTATTGGAGGTGCTCCCTGACCCTACTGTCAGGTTCTGTACAGAAGCAGCTGTACTATTCAAACTGGGGATACTCATGGGAATGGGCAAAAAAATTCGTGTGAATCCTATAGTTGCTCCCCTGATATTGGGGCTCTGCACCATAAGGCCGGCGTTCTGTGATTGAGTCTCCCCACATTGAATTCTAGCATGTTGAATACCTATTTTCTGATCCATAACTGCGAGACGTTGATCTACCACCGAGAAACGCTCATTAAGTCTTTGTATTTCAAGGCGAATTGAATTTAAAGTCTCCTTAATTTCTGATTTAGCCTTAGCCTGCACATTCTCGGCCGAAGTCGCAGCCTTACGCTTGGCTGGGTTGCCCGAAGGCCCGCTTCCACGACCATGGGAACGCCCGTGGTTGGAGGAGAGGGAGAACCTACCGACTGAGAAGCAGATGCCCGAGAAGTTCGAGATGTACTGGCACGTCTAAGCTCAGCCATTTCGGCTCTCAGTGACTCAATAATGCTGCGCATTTCGGCATTCTCCTTCCTAAGCTGATTTAGTTCCGCCAGACCATGCTGCGGCGCAGCGCCCCCCGTTACCTTTCCACCTCCTCCGCTGCGCACCAGGTCAGCCCAGGCGCCACCCTGCATCTCCGGTTGCGGTGGGCTTCCATGGAAACGGACCGTTCCATGCGGGTCCCTGGACAGGCTCCTCGAGTGCGACGGCCTATAGATTGGGACCCACGACTATCTCTGGACCGGGACTTGGCTTGGCCTTTAGACGACCTTCCATTTCGCTGGCCTCGGGAGCGACTTCTGGACCGGCTGCTTGCCCGTTGTTATGAGTGACGGCTGTCCACCCCAGTTGCAGCAGCAAGACTGTTTGTACGGGTGCTGCAGTGCGAGGGCTGGCTCACACCCTCGTCGGCGTTGGCAGGTACCGTTTGCTGACTACGACGCTCAGATTCCGCGCGGCGCTCTCTTCGCCGCCTTCGCACGATAAAAGGAAGCTGAAAACTTTGCTGGCAACATTTATCAGTCGTGGCGTGTGGGCCACCACAGCATCCACAGGTCGGGGAACATTGATGGTTCTCATCAGGGTTGTCGATTCCGCACCTCTTGCACACAGCTTCGTCCGGAGTCGGACAGACGTCCGCCCTGTGCCCCAGTCTGCCACAGGCGTAGCAGAAGTCATGCTGCCGATGGTAAAGCGAGCATCTGACCAGTGCCGTGCCGAAATAAATGGAGTTGGGAACTTTCTAGCCATCGAAGACAATAATCACCGTTTCAGTGTTCCTAATACGTCTCACTCCCAGAGCCGAGGGGTTTCTTTCAGTGAGGATGCTCCTCTCCAGCTCCGTCTGGCTCTCCGATGCGTCAATCTTACGGATGACCCCCTTGTCTCATGCGGGGCAGCCTCGTAAGTGTTGATGTCATACTTCTTCATTCCCAATGTAAGGCAGCTCATCCTGAGGTAGGAGTCAGCGTTCGCCCGGGTCGCCGTGCTAATAACTATAATATCTTGCGTTGCATTCGGGCAGATGATATCCTGACCGATGAGCGTGGGTGCAATTCCAGCCGCCTCTGCGATTACCCAGCCAAGTCTAGCTGAGCCCGCCTTCTCAACATCCAAGCCACCCCTTGGACGAAGGATGATCTTCCAGTGCTCGCTCGGCAGTCGAGGTATTCTCGATGATTTGATAACTTTATTCTTCAAGTTTAGAGCTTTTCTTGTAGCACTGGAATGGCCCGTGGCGTTCCCGCCGCACGCAGTGGCACGCTCTGTAGCACTGGCGTTTGTGCGCCTTGAGCTTTTCTTCACCGCGATGAAGCGCCAGTCGTGTTCTTCTCCAAACTCTTCCGGAGGGAGGTCATCGTCCATAATAACAGCCGCGCCGTCCAGCATATTGACTCAGCAGGTGGAACGAAGGGCACGTCCTACCCAGGAGACGCCAACTCGGCGTTGTGGTTGTTCGCCCAAGCACGAGAGGCGCAGTCGGTGGCGTAAAAGTCCAGAAAATGCGCAAAAATGGACCTACCGGTGAAAGTCCGCTACCGACGCGAACCTTGGCAGCTTATGTGTCGACTCGTAGCAAGATCCTCACAATAGACCCTCTGCTTTTTTTTTCTGCGGAAAACCGCAGTTTTGCCAATGCTCGTGTCATGTCCCCTGTAATTAACTGACAGAAGGTCGGGCGGGCGGACGCACAGGTTTCCTCGGCGGGTACAGCAATTCTTGCGTATATATACATATTGTTACGTAATACATATTGTTACATATACGTAATATAACGCAGCTTTTATTTCAGCAGTGCACCCTGTTTGTGTTTGTGTAGGACAGCGATTCTAGCACAACCTTATATATTTAGGTTATAACAATATTATACAGTCACATGAATATTTAAGTGTCTACACTGAATATAAAATCAATGAAAGATCCTTAAATCAAATGTTGTAGCACTACACTTGACGAGGACAAGACAGAGAAGAACATGACAGTACGGGCGCTCTATACTCCGACTAGTCATTAAGCCCTACAAAGTGTTTTGTTAAGCAATTAGCAGGGGTGGTTATTGTAAAATTAGGCACAATAGTCAGTGCCATTACTATGACACATTAATACATGATTAATTTTAGTTAGCGTCAGCATAGCTAGTTCTGGTACAGCTGCAAAGCTCACCACTCTTTGCAAGCGAGCCTCAGGCGCCTGTTAGCCTAATGGGCGTCCACCAATAATTTTAATGCACAATTCTGCACCAACTCAATGGCAAAAGTGTGCGCCCATCCTTTCCCTGTCACGCATGACGAATCACTAAAGGTAATGAATAATAAATATAAATTCATAGTAAATAAACAGGGAAACATGCTTCGTAGGCGAGTGCCCTGTCCACTGTTACATGCCCCAGTTACATCAGGAGTTCCTGCCGCCTGTGCCGTCATGCGCACTCCGTATTGAGTATGCATTTCTGAGTTCAGACTGACGTTGGCTCAGTATCGTATCATATTCCAGAAGTTTCTAATTGTATGTGTATAGCACTCTTCCTATTCATAACATTCGAGTCTGTTGTGATCGGTCCAATGTCTCTTATCTGCATTCCCAACCCTTGCTTTTAAGAAGGGGAATAATTTACGCAAGTATTCTGTCTAGGGGGATCCGACCATCTGTACGCATGCAGCTGACGACATCAAGGAGATCTAGATAGATCGAGTGGTATCTTGCACTTGCCTAATGCTAAGTTATATGTGCCACGAGACACGATCTAGCTAATCTAGATAGATATAGTATAGTCGAACAATGTGCGCAAGCTCTTGTGTAGCTATAACATCGATAAAGTCATCCACAAATAAAGGTTTTGCAAGATTTAGGAGCGAATCTTCTTAAGGATGGGATCGGTCGTCACCTGTATGTATGCATGCCTGTAATAACCACCTCCCAGCATATCCATGGAGTGAATGATGATGAGTGGGGCGAAGCTTCGGAGGGTTTTATCGGCAAACCATGAATCATCCGCTGGCCGCGTCCGTCCGTCGTCTGTCTGTCTGTCTGACGCACGGGCGGACGGAAGCGCGGACGCACTGATGGACACTTCGCCCCACTCAACACCATTCACTCTGTGGATACGCTGTGATTTTCGTATTTGTATATCAAGTTTATTTTTTTATTTCATTTCTTTCTGATACAGAAAGTGGAGTAAGAGCTAAAGGCCGTATTGCCTGACAGAGGCTTACTCCCATGCGCATTCGGCATGCGTGTACATGTTTGCATGCGATGCGAGTATACAAACAATAGAGCAACCAGAAAAATCAAAGCATGTATGTACCTCATTGTCACTGCAAATAAAGCATTACAGGTAGACATCATACATGAAAACAAACATATCATACAGACACTCCAAGAATATATACCTATACGCGTTAAATTGTGAACTTTCAAATTGTAGCACAAACTGTATATGCGGTACACGTAGAGAATTAAACAGATATATTTTATTGATAAGTTATCGTGGAATGTAACAGAAAGTTCTTTATAATTTTTTTAAAGCAGGGTGCATGAAAATCTATATGATGTTCAACAATGTACAATAGCCGGAGTACTTGATACTCAAGGTCCTGACGCCCGTAGTTCGCATAAGTGGTGGCATTCTCGTTTGGTGGCGTAATTGATATCGAGGGGGAGAAACGGGCAGGCTACTAACATGGAGCATGCGCTTTTTCGTGTTCAGCATTCAAAAGTCTCAACTTTTATACGACGCAATCCGAGAGCGATCAGTAAAACATTTCCCAACTCAAGCGCTTCAATCCCTTCTTGGGGCGTGGTTGATAATCCTACAAGTATACAGATCACATCACGACTGTAATGCATCACGGCTGTGCCCGCGCACCCAGGCACATCCCGCGCAGTAGCCAATCGGAGAGTAGCGCTACAGCGCCATCTAGAATATTCTCACTCAACTCCAGTTTGTATGTACTTCTAGAGATACTGTATATGCTACCTTTAGTATATACAGTGACTCTATGTACTTCTACGAGAGAGCTACGAGAGAGCTTCTACGAGAGAGCTAGTCTATGGTACTGTTCAGGAGATACTGCCAGTTACGCCTGACACAGGACAAGGTTAGACTAAGAGGAGCTTCGCTCTGGAAAAACATCGCTGACGGGTCAATTTGATCATCATCATCATCATCATCATCATCATCATCATCATCATCATCATCCTGACTACGTCCACCGCAGGACAAAGGCCTCTCCCATGTTCCGTCAGTTAATCCGGTCCTGTGCTTGCTGCTGCCAATTTATACCCGTAAACTTCTTAATCTCGTCTGCCCACCTAACCTTCTGTCTCCCCCTAACCCGCTTCCCTTCTCTGGGAATCCAGTTAGTTACCCTTAATGACCAGTGGTTATCCTCTCTACGCGCTACATGCCCGGCCCATGTCCATTTCCTCTTCTTTATTTCAACTATGATATCCTTAACCCCCGTTTGTCCCCTAATCCACTCTGCTCTCTTCTTGTCTCTTAAGGTTACACCTACTATTTTTCTTTCCATTGCTCGCTGCGTCGTCCTCAATTTAAGCTGAACCCTCTTTGTAAGTCTCCAGGTTTCTGCTCCGTAGCTAAGTACCGGCAAGATACAGCTGTTATATACCTTCCTCTTGAGGGATAGTGGCAATCTACCTGTCATAATTTGAGAGTGTCAATTGGATAGCTGTCTGAAAAGCTTTTGCTTGGAACATTTTTATTCATACTATTTTAGTACTGCCGCATGACGTGCGGCTACACGTAAGGGGTATAACTGCTTGAAAGAAATCTCCTGTACGGGGCTTCTGGAAAATTAACCATTTAACCAGTCAACATTAGAGAAATGAGAGGCAGCCCTGTACGGCTATGATCTCTATAGCCGGGTGTGATCGAGAGAGGCGCTTTTACCAACACTATACTAAAGGACCTTGCGTCTCCAGCGTTATTCTACAATCAGCTTTAGTCAAATATTTCACCCCCACCGACACGTGCTGATAATCCACATACCTGGATTTCAAGTTTCGATCTTGTTAACATTCCGCCACGCATTTCAATATTATTCGTATCAGAGCACCTCAGCTGTTAGGAAAAGTTGAAAATTTGAAAATCCTTAGATTGATTTTAAATTAGAAAGAAAAAAAGAGACGAGGGGTCAATCACATGTGCGCACCCTAACAGCCTGAGGAAACGAGGACGACGACGTAGAAGACTACATGCGGCCCGAGCCACGAGCCCGCTGTGGTAGAGCCTTTTTGAGCGCAATTCGTGCACCTTCGTTGTGCGCTTTTTGTTCTCCTGGGCGTCACGCCGTCAGGTTGTGAGACCGGTGCAGCACACGGAACGAACCCGTGCCACAAGCAGCCATCCTGGTCATGGGCCGACCTCGGACTGCTCGGAGAGTTTCATGATCGTCAGTCGCAGGGGTCTGGGCGCCGAACAAGCACCTCTTTCTCGGAGTCCGGAATAGAAGACGTGAGTGCACCTCGGAACCCCAATTCCGTTCTGATTAATGAGCGCTGGGTATAGACTGAGCAGAGGTGCGGCCGAAGTAGACACAAGGAACCGAGCTTTTTTGACGTTAATAGCATCTGAGCGAGCGAGTGTTCCATCTGCATAAATTCGTATTCTCGTGCCGCATTCAGTAAAACACACCGTGAAGTTTGGTCATATTCGTTTTGCTCATGAACGTTCATCAGCTTATTACAGCTATACTTTGCAGTAAAGCGCATATGCCAGCTACAGTCATATCATCTTACAACAGTGGGTGCAAACTCTCCAATACTTCATGAGCAAGGAACCAGATAATAAAACTTCGCCGTTCGATAATGAGTAATGTGAACAACTAAAAATGCTTTAAAGAGCTGCGTTCCGTTAGCTTAGAGTGGTGCAGCGCACTTGCAACTAAAACATTCTCCAACTTGCCGTTTCACTATTAAAGAAATGGAAAATACACAATATTTATACATAAACGTGTTCTTAAAGCGTGACTGCGTTGGAGATCATGCGTTACCTGCAGCTATGCGGACAATTATTGACGGCATAATTTGCAGGTATATTTACGGAATATCTGTAGCTAGCCGTATACTTCGACATTCCGTAAAAATTGCATACAGCACGATTTGTTACGGTTGAGAAGCGTGCAGCAAATGAAGCAATCTGGGGTTAGTGAATTTTAGAGTCTAAAGGCTGTAATGTTGTATTGCTGTTATTGCTGCAACTTCTTGCTCCGGTGTAATTTCGCATTGTGGTTATCTTGCAGATCCAGCCTGCAAGATGATGTCCGACGAGCTAAACGTGATCAATGACGAGGACAAGGGTCGCAATGTCACCAAGAACAAGATGTACGTGACGGCGGGCGCCGTTGGTGCGTGTGTCGTGGTGCTGATGCTCCTGTCGGTCGCCTCGATCGGCTCCAGGAAATCCAACGAAGAAATGGGTTTCGTAAAGAGACAGATAAACGTCGCCGGCACGTGCAGGTGTGTGCACCCCATACTTTTCTTCCCCGCATAGAACATAACTCTCCCAGAACTTCCCACTCCACAGTCTCCGCGATTGGCTACTTTCTTCCCCACGAAACAGGGCAGCGTCCAGTTAATCACAGCAACATTTTTCATTGTTGTGGAAATAGGAATGAGAGAAAAAGAGCCACTCACAAGAAGTTGGCTGCAGGGCATAGAAACATATATTTGGCGCTGGTGAAATTCAGTGACATATATTTAAATGTTGTGGTACACTGTATAACATTGATAAGTTTCCCGTCGCATGAATGTATGCGTTAATCTCCCTGGTTGAACGTAAAGGTCCTCGATTTGACGGCATACCGTGCAGCCGCCTAGCTATTTCTCTTTAACTGACATTCGTGCACATTTTTCGTTTCCTTAGATCTCAAGCCTGCAACCAACTCAGCACAACGTTAAACAAGAGTCTGAGCCGCAAGGAAGCTCCTTGCCAGAACTTCTATCGCTTTGTCTGCTCTGGGAAACAGAACAGCGAGGTAGAACAGAAGCAGGCTGCTTTGCAAGAGAGTAGTTTCGGATCATCCTGGGTAATTGAGACACTAAAGGAGTCGTTTCGTAAAGTGGAGTCAAACCCCAAGATTCCGGTACGGTCCCAGACGGACGCGCAAAAGTTTCTGACCTTCTACCTGTCCTGCTATCACAGCCTGGCACCGGGGTCTAGGAATGTACGAAGCATGAAGCACTACATGCGCATGTTTAATTTCAGCTGGCCTAAAGTGAAACCCCGCGAACTGAACTCGTTCGACCTCTTAGTCCGAATGGAGCTAGACTTTAATATCGGGGCCTTCTTCAGGTTTGGGATCTCTTTGAAGAGGCAGAACGCCTGGGACTTTACGCTTAAGCCACCAAAAATATCCAAGTTCATGTTTGCACCCACGAGGAAAGAGAAGTACAGGAAGTACTTGGAGAAGGTTGTCCGAACCATGGGTGGTGGCCTCAAGCATGGTAGCATTGTAGATGCGATAGCGAAATTCGAAGAGGAGCTTTTCGAGCTGGCTGTCATGGAAAACAAACAACGAGTGTACCTACGGAACTTGTCAATGCTGACACCAACGATCAGTCCCGAGATGTGGATGGATACGTTCAGCAAATATTTCGTACTGTCAAAGTTTATGGAGAATCACACTATGTTGATCACAAGCCCAGAGTACTTCACGAAGCTCTTCAACTCGCTTTCCACTAAAGAAGGCGCACTGTATTTGGGTTGGAGGATCTTTCGATTCGGCAGTTGCTTCACAAACGAGTTCAGGACACTAGAAGAGAGCATGGAAATGAACGTGGACTCTTGCAGTCATCCAGTGAGCGATGCTCGCGAGTACTGCAGAGAGTACGCATCAAAGATGATGCTACCACAAATGATAGCGTTTGCGACGGAATCGCTGACAAGCAAGAATGAGGTGCGGTCAGTGGTCAACATCGCGGACAATGTGAAGAGGGAGATGTCCAAGGGCCTCAGTTTGAATCCGTGGCTGGACAACAGCACGAAGCTAACGGCCATGCAGAAAGTTCAAAGCAGTCGTCTCGTACTGCCAGAGATTGGCCTCCGAGCCGACAACACCAGTGTGTCCTCATTTCCCGACTTGGGAGCGGACTTCCTTGAAAACTGGGTACGAGTCATCCCACACGCCGGCTTTCCAGCCAGGGAGTATGAAATCGAAGAATCCATGCGTAGGCTCCACGACGACCACATCAAGTACGACGTCTACACCAACGAGCTGCACCTCCCAATCGCTAGCACCAAGGGACCACTCTACTCCGCAGACCTTCCCGTGTCAGCTATCTACGCTGTGCTCGGCAGAATCATTGCGCACGAGCTTCTTCACGGACTCGATGCGCAAGGGCGCGATATCAACAACGGCCAGGCCCAAACATGGTGGAGCGAGGACTTTGCCGACGCGTACAACGCCAGAGCAGCCTGCTACGTCAACCTGTACGAAAATGTCGGCGACTACACTAACAACACGATCCAGGAGGACATCATAGACAACGCAGCAGTAAGATACGCGTACGCTGCTTTCAAGGCGGCCCTGCCTTCGGACAAAGTGGCCAACGTGCTCGGCGGTTTGAGCACTTTCAGTCCCGACCAGACCTTCTTCATTACATACTGCCACAGCTTCTGCGAGAACACGACTGACCATCCGGGAGCACACGGTGGCTGGACAAAGTACTCCGACGGACACAACCGCTGCAACGTGCCGCTGATGAACATGGAAGAGTTTGCACACGCATTCTCGTGCACGGCGCAAGAGCCAATGAATCCTGCGAAGAAATGCTACCTCTGGTAAAACTGTGTCAAAAGTAGCGGTGCATTCATTCCATCAGCCGTCTACCGCGCAGTGAATGGCGTGGTGTTTAGCAGGTCTGTTTAAAAATAAAGGTCGCGTCTTCAGTTGCTTTTGCAGACGCAGTGTAGCACGTTGATGGCACGTTTCACACAAAGTACCTTGGAAGTCACTCACATTCGCGGCTTCGTACTGTGCATTAAACTATGAGAACTAGGTTGCCGGTTTTAGCTTATCAATATTTCAACTTATTACCAGAAAAAAGTAAGCAAGCTAGTAAGCGCTATTTATAGTTTCACAGTATCTGCAATTTGTACTCCGAACATCTCACGTTTTCTGACAAGCACAAAACTACTCGTAAAATGACCTATACTATAAAGATGCCACCTATAGGTAGCATCTTTACAGTATAGGTCATTTTACGGGTGGTTACGGGTGAACGTGCGTTTGCTCGGCTGTCGCACGCAATGGTTCATTGTCGAGACAAGTGTACGACAACGACCGCAATGGGCGCACGCGATAACGTAGCCACGAGCGAAACGATGCGAAAACGGGATGCGAAGTGAGTGCATTCGACCCACCCGTCAGGCAGACTGGAAACAAGTTTACTAGTGAAACCAACGCGCACTCCATCTGTCGTTAATAGCAGCGAGCATATCAGATACAACGCTTGGCGGCGCTGCCGGCTGTACGCATGAACATGCGTGTTTGTGTGTGTGTAACACGCACACATGCCAACACTGCAAAATTGAAAATTTTCGAATGGAGGAAGGGGCTTTAGGAATTTTTTTGGTTACATCCCTGCAGGGTACACCAAGGAGGTTTAAAAAAAAGTGCTGGAGTAGAAATTCTTGCCCACAAGTGAAGCCGTGCCAACCGTAAGATGGCGGCTGCGCCAGCCATTTTACTAGGGGCATGGTGAGCGATTGGCATTTAGCGATTAAGAAAGGACAGTTTATTGCACACTTAACTTGCACACACACAAACTAAACATCCAAAACTAGTAAAGACGGTGTATACATCTTACAAATTAGCACCAAGATCTAATTGATCACTGCGTATCCAAATGTTACAAATAAAAAAAAATGAATCAAGTTGATCACATTTTACAGAGTACCACGTATGCATTCGTACTAGAGTGGGCGCATGGCTAGTACGGAACAACTAGAAACTTCAGCTGTCCCTTTTTTACTTTAAGGAAACGTGTATGCCATCGTGAAAGGAAAGCCTCTTTGCCGTGCATTTCCAGCTGCTGATCTAGGTAATTTTACACAATTAGCCGTATTTTTTGGAGTGCGAGATAGATGCCTCTATGAGGATTGTGCCGTATTTCCGCTAAACAGCGTCACCGCCACGGTACGTACAAGGTCACTATAAAGACCAGTCTTGCACACAGCCCACGTTCTGTTCCCATACGCACTGTGCGAAAGCCAAAGAGGCATTGTATCATGTTCCAGGACGCCTTTCGCCACCGTACACTGAAACAACGCATGTTGTGCCGTCCCTCTTTTGCCGCGGTTTGGACAGCGGTCATTTGGAACGACTCCCCGATGCGCTAACCGGTCACGCGTAGGCAATGCCCTCCATCTTGTCAACCAGTCAAACTCGCACACCTGGTTAAGTACGCGATTGCAACGCCGTCGTTTCCATTTTTTCATGCAGGAAGCTTTTTCTTCCTCTTTGCTCAGTGTGCTACTTGTCACCATTTCTCTTATTTCCTGTGATGAAACATCTTCCAGACTGCATGAACCTATTGATTCCACTGTTCGTTTTAAGCCACTGGCAGCTCTCTAAAACTTAAGCGGAATTTCTGTTCGTGGTCCGATGTACGGATTGGCCGTGAAAGTTCCTTTTAGTGTACTGCTCCAGTACATCATGAGCCTGTACCCGGGGTAGTTGCTGTCATCGAACGGCTTCTGTGTTGTTTTTGCAGCCAGTGCTCTCGTGAACGTTGGTATATCTGGGAGGCTCAAGCCTCCACAGTTTGTGGGAAGCTGTAAAAATTTCCTCCGTACCTTTGCTGGTTTTCCTCCCCAGAGTAAGGTCCCCGCCATAGCGGTGAGGCGTCCTGCAACCCGGCGAGGTAGCAGGGCGATGTGTGCTACGTAAAACGCAAAAGCGCATGCCTGTGTCTTGATGACTGTTGCTTTTGCCGTTAGTGACAGGTTAAAATGAGTGGCTGCTGATGTGACATTGGTGGATCTCCTAAGTACGTCATCCCAGGTCCTTTTTGAGACATCTCCTTCCTCAAAGTAAACGCCTAACACCTTAACAGCTTGAACGTATTCTACGTCTCCTGGCAATAGTTCTCTGAAGCCTCCAAAGCGCAACACCTTACATTTGGTGGTGTTTAAAAGAGCACCAGACAGATAGGAATACTGAGCAAAAATGCCAAGGAATGTATTATAGCCAGACAAGTTACGAAAAAAATACCAAAATATCATCGACATATGCGACAATTTTGAAGGCTTCCTTGCCTGGCATCGGGAAACCCACTATGCGCTCGCAGTTTGCAATCTTTCTAATGAAAGGCTCTAGAGACAAAACGAATCATACCGGAGAGAACGGACAGCCTTGTCTCACTCCTTTTTCGAATTTCAAGGCTTCTGGTCAATCCGCTGTTGAAGTAAAGACAGCTTGACAGGTCCTGATATAGTATTTCTACCAGTCGCACATATACTTCTCTGGGAGGCCAAATATGCGCAAAATAGTGAAAAGATACCAGTGATCCACTCTATCTAATGCTTTGGCCTGATCAAGAAAGATAAATACTCCTGTGATCTGTTTTTCTTTGGCATATGCGAAGAGGTCTCTGAAGATTGTTAGAGGTACGAAGACGAAACGTCCTGGTACTGCGCATGACTGCAACGGCGACACGATCTTTTCCAAGAAAGGCCGCAAACGCCGTGATAGCAGCGGGGCTACTAACTTATAGTCTGTGTTTAGAAAGGTAATAGGCCTCCACGATTTTGGATCTGACGACTCCATACCCTCTTTCAGCAATAGAATCACCCTCCTTTCGCAGAAAGACTGGTTTTTGGCCATCACATAACAAAATATTCACGAAATCAGTGATCGCATTTTCTAACATACCGAAGAAGCGCAGGTAAAATCTCATGAGTATTCCATCTGGGCCTGGTGACGTGGACGTATTTATCTTAGGGCGTATTATACTTTGTTATCAGTTTCTGCATATAATACTAAACCATCTTCCAAGCCTAGCGATGGCAAACCTTCACAAAAGGCTGAGAGTTTGGCACTGAACTCGTCGTCCTGTGCGTCATGCTCTGCAGCGTAGTTTCGCAAAGTATATAGTCTCGGAAAACTTCTTGAACTTCATACGGCTCATTAGCAACGATACCATCCTCTTTCAGCGCCTCATCGATGTAGTGGGGCTGGCTTCGACGATCACGGTTTCTTTGCGCATGTCAAGTTCTCGGTTTCATCTGTCGATAAGTGCATTTCTTTTGCGAGCCTTCAAGCCTGAGACCTCTGCTTTAAAAGATTTTGATGTTTGACTTTTTGTACTTCGACGTAATCGAGCATAGTGAACGTGGCTGACCCACCTCTTTCTATGATTTGAATGCGTCGATGAATCTCATTTATCTTGGCTGTGAGGCGAGCGTGCCATGCTTTTTCTACCTGGTGAGCTATGAGGCGCCAGCGAGATTTTAAGTGGTCCCATGTGGACGGAGTGCTTTCGTCATCATGAGGAATAATTGGGTCCATCCTCTATGGTTTGTGGATTCTCGTTGTTGTGCTCACGCTAAAGGTGAAGAATAACGAAGCGTGATCACCAAGTTTCTGCTGGTTTGGAGCGAGCTGAACGACCTCACATGTTTGGAGTTCGGTAAGAAGTCATTGGGCACATAAACTCTATCGATTCGGCTTTGATGAATGCCACAATCGCGAGTTGCAACGAACCTGACTCCATGTAGAGTTAACCACCCATCTGCCAACTTGGCATTTTTAACTAATTGCTGTAGTTCTCTGGCGTAAACATTGTTGGCGCCTTGGCCGGGGCAGCTGACGTCCCGTGTAGTCTCAAGCAAGCAGTTTAAATATCCGACAAGCACATATGATATCGGCTCGATCAAAAAATTTCTGACACCTTTATAGAGCCCGTTCGTTTCTTACCTCGTTGGGGGCGAATATACGTTGACAAATTTGACTCATTTGCAGCTAAGTATCACTTCTACCGTTATGATGCGGCCTTCAGTGTCAATAAAACAGTGAGCACCCCTCTTCAGCGTTGCGTTCATGAAAACAACTCCTGTGCCACGTGCACGCGCACCTGTAAGTGAGAAGAAGGCCTCTACATGAAACCTTTCCCGAAACTCTGCAACGTCAAGATTAGTACGAAAGTTTGTCTCCTGCAAGAAAAGCATGTCCACGCCATGCGCCCGCGCGAGGTCAAGTACTGCCTGCACGCTTCACCGGATTTCGAAAACCACGAACATTAAACGACATGAAAGAAAGTGATGCCATCGTTAAAGTAAAGGCGATGAAGGTACTCAGAGGAAAGAAAGGTATGAGTGAGGAGAGCAAATTGTTAAAAGTATACTTACCATCGTCACTCACGGTTGGTGACGATCGCCATGGCGACGATCCCACGCGGGGTTTCTTTAATGTTCCGTGGTTAGCGGAGTCGCTGCCGCTGCTCCCACTGCCTGTCTTGGAACGGCGTTGTGAACTGGAGGGACTCGATGCGCCTGAAGATCGTGCGGGTCTGGTGGAACCTCGGTGTCCGGCGGTTTGCTCCATGTGGTCGACTTCTTAGCTGCTTTGTCGATGTCGAAGGCGTAGCGTTCATGCTCTTCAGGGTCATCGACATTCCAAGGTTAGCGTTCGGAGCGCTGTCACGGGTGTCTGCCGCTGTCGTAGCAGAAGAAATCGAAACTGCGATGCCTCTTGTTATGGATACCTGGTCGTCAGGCGTTTGGCTCTCCTCGGACGCCATTGGTGCGCTGCAGTTATGTCGAGTTCCGATGCCGCCTGCTAGT